CATCACAGCTCACAGCAACCTCCAACTCCTGGGCTTAAGCGATTCTCTTGCCTCAGCCTCCCAAGTAGCTGGGACTACAGGCGCCTGCCACAACACCCAGCTATTTTTTGTTTTTGGTTGCAGCCGTCATTGTTTGGTGGGCCTGGCCTGGATTTGAACCCACCAGCTCAGATGTATGTGGCTGGCGCCTTAGCCACTTGAGCCACAGGTGCCGAGCCTGTGCCTTTGATTTTATCATTTAGGCCAATATTTGCTAAAAGGTATGCTGTGGAAGAATGTTTAGTGAAGAAAGAGCTTCTCCTGTCAAATTGTATAAGAAGCTCTTGTCTCCTGCTCCCATTTGAGTTTCAATACTCATAAACATATTAAAGGCTTAGATAAGAATAAGAACCACTAAAAAGAAACCTACTTGCTTTTGTTTCCTATTAGCTTTTTATGGATAGCTTCCCTTTAAAACCAAACAGAACGGATATTTCTCAAAGGCCAACTGTAAAACATTGCAGTAGGTGATAAAATTTATGGGCAGGTTCTAAGGTGAGTAATAGGATGTGATTTACTGGCTAGAAAGTTCAGGAAGTATGGATGGAATATACCCTGGAGAGGGTGTAACCTGAAGTAGGACACTGGCAATAGACATGGAAAAGAAAGGGTGGATTAGGGCCTTGGAGATTGCTTGACTATATAGATGGGGAGAGAAAAAGACAGGGTCCTGATTAGAGTTGCTGGGTGTATTAGGTGCCTTTCATGGAATAAAGAGACCTGGGAGACAAGTTTGGAGGATAAGGTGATGAGTCTGGCTTTGGATATGGAGATCTGAAGCACCTGTGAAACACTCAGACACAGAGTAGTATGAGTTAGAGACAGATTTGGGGAATATTAGATTTGAGAGGTAGGGAAAAGGGGTGGATAAGCTCTCCCAGGGAGAACATACAGAAGATAGAAAGGTGAGGAGCTCTGTGGAAGACTTTCTTGAGTTACTCTCTAATTTAGAAAAAGTAGAGCATGGACCCATAAGATAACTAGAGCTCAGCCAAGGTCACACAATAGGGTGTTGGTGTCAAGGCTATGACAGCTTAGTCATTGAAAGTATTACATCCATTTCTTCTCACCTGTCTCATTGGTCTATGGCTTCCCATATTACTGGAGCCATAGTTGTGAATATCTCAACACTTAAAAATCTTCAGCCCTGGGCGGCACCTATGGCTCAGTGAGTAGGGTGCTGGCCCGATATACCAGGTGTGGCAGGTTCAAACCCAGCCTTGGCCAAACTGCAACAAAAAAAATAGCGGGGCATTGTGGTGGGTGCCTGTATTCCCAGCTACCTGGGAGGCTGAGGCAAGAGAATCACCTAAGCCCAAGAGCTGGAGGTTGCTGTGAGCTGTGATGCCATAATACTCTACTGAGGATGACAAAGTGAGACTCTGTCTCTAACAACAACAACAAAAAACTTCAGCCCTGGCAGCACCCATAGCTCGGGGGGTAGAGCGCCGGCCACATACACCGAGACTGGCAGGGTCGAACCCGGCTCGGGCCAGCTAAAGCAACAATGACAACTGCAACAACAACAAAAATAGCTGGGCATTGTGGCAGGCACCTGTAGTCTGAGCTACCTGAAAGGCTGAGGCAAGAGAATCCCTTAAGCCAGCAGTTCTCAACCTGTGGGTCCCAGCCCCTAAGACCATCGGAAGACACATCCTGCATATCAGATATTTACATTACGATTCATAACAGTAGCAAAATTACAGTTAGGAAGTAGCAATGAAAATAATTTTATGGTTGGGGTCACCATAATACAACATGAGGAACTGTATTAAAGGGTTGTGGCATTAGGAAGGTTGAGACCCACTGGCTTAAGCCCAAGAGTTTGAGGTTGCTGTGAGCTGTGATGCCATGGTACTTTACCCAGGGCAACAACTTGAGACTCCGTCTCAGGAAAAAAAAAACCAAAACTTCAGCCCTTGAGTGATAGGAATTGATATGGATAATGGATATCCCCTGTTCCAGGCACTGTATTGGATGACAACCTCATAATAGACCTTTGAGATCACCATTAGATCCACTTTACAGATAAGAAAATTGAGGCTCAGAGAAGAATAAGTAGCTTGCTCAAGGTTGCACAAATGGGAGGCCAGTTAGAATAGGCTGAATTAAAGAGGGTGAGTGTGGGGCTGGGTGCTGTAGGAAGAGGACTTGGTAGGATTCAAGAGATTAGAAATTAGGTCTTAATATTTAGTGTTTTTTTTTTAAATTATGTTAAAATCCAGAATGCTGGGGGCAGCACCTGTGGCTCAAAGGAGTAGGGTGCCGGCCCCATATGCCAGAGGTGGCAGGTTCAAACCCAGCCCCAGCCAAAAACTGCAAAAAATAAAAAATAAAAAACAGAATGCTCGGCACTGGCTCGGTGCCTGTGGCTCAAGTGGCTAAGGCACCAGCCACATAGACCTAAGGTGGTGGGTTCGAATCCAGCCAGGGCCCGCCAAGCAACAATGATGGCTGCAACCAAAAAATAGCCAGGCGTTGTGGCGGGCACCTGTGGTCCCAGCTACTTGGGAGGCGGAGGCAGGAGACTCACCTGAGCCCAGACATTGGAGGTTGCTGTGAGCTTCGATGCCATAGCACTCTACCCAGGGGGACAGCTTGAGGCTCTGTCTCAAAAAAAAAGAATGGTCAGCACTCTACCAAATAAAAGGCTCATAGTTTGGACCTTTACCCACTAACCACAGGCAGACCCACCAAGTAGGTATTAAAGAGTAGTGGGCAAGAGTGATGAAATTGGCTGGTCTTGACCAAAGGGACCTGTCCTTTTCTACTTAGCCAACCTGGAGCTAGATGAGGTACAAGACTTCCTCGGGGAGCTGATGACCAACGAATTTGATACAGTTGTGGAGGATGGGAGTCTGCCCCAGGTGAGTTTATCTTGGGCACAGCTGCTATCTCCTTACCTGCAGTCTTTCTCCCAACTGGGCCAAGACTCTTGTCCAGGGGTCCTCAAACTTTTTAAACAGGGGGCCAGTTCACTATCCCTCAGACTGTTGGAGGGCTGGACTGTGGGCCCTAGGACGAGTCGGCTGCTAAGCAGGACAGGCAGCGGCAGCAAAAGCACCCAGCAGCCGGATAAATGTCCTTGGCAGGCCCCACGTGGGCCGTGGGCCATAGTGAGGATGTCTGCTCTTGTCTCTAACCATTCTTCTCTAGAATTCTGCACAAGACCCTTCTATGATTCCCTGTTGCCTAGAGGAACAAGTCTAGTCTTTCTAGGTCTTCCCATATACCATTTTCAGGCTGGCTGTACCTCCCTCACCCCTACCCCAAGGGTAGGGAGGGTCAGGCCAGGTTCATTTTCATTCCTGCTTTGGTTAACATTGGTCTCCCTAGTAGGATTGCCTTCCCTTTTATATCTTTTTCAAAGACCAGTTCTAGTACCTTCTCTGCTTCAGGCCCTCACCTGACCCCTTCAAATGTGGAAATGTTGCTTTATTAGTGAGCTCCTTGGGGAGGAAAGAGACCTGTTTTCTTTTGGAAAATTCCAACCCATTCCCCACTTTTGCTGTAAATATAGGCTGGTTGCATAGTAGATTCTCTAAAAGTCCAACCTGGTTGAATGTTTCTTGGTAGGTGAGCCAGCAGCTGCAGACCATGTACCACCACTTCCAGAGGGGTGATGGGGCTGCTCTGAGGGAGATGGCCTCCCAAATCACTCAAAGAAAGTGCAGAGTCACAGCCTCTGCACTTAGGACAACCAGAAAGATTGATGAGGATGAGGATGATACAGACAGTGTGGAAGAAATGGAGGTGAAGTGGGTGTTCCTTGGATGTGGGGGGGGGATACAAATGTTTTCAATTTTATGGGAGAGCAGCTAGATTCACAAGGAGGATGTTTGTGGTGGTGGTGGTATTATACAGAGAGGGCAGAGAACATTCCTAAAATTACACAGCCAGTCGTGGAAAAGCTGGGGACAAAGCCTGAATCCCCATTAGCCAATGTATTTAGCTCTGTCTTTTATTTCCCCTCCAGGTCTCAGCAACAAATGATGGGACTGCTACAGATGGGGTTTGCTCCCAGCCTGAACCCTGTGATCCAGCCTCTCAGGCTATTAAGGAAGAAGATATAGTGGAAGATGGCTGGACCATTGTCCGGAGAAAGAAATGAGTGGTTTGGGCCCTTGTTTGCTAGTTTTGAGACTTGTTTGTAGGGGCTTATTTGGAGAGTTCTTGACCTCTGGACTAGTTACCCTATCCCTACCCTTTCCCCTGTTCCCCTCTCCAGTTGGGAAGAAAAGCTCTAGGGTCGTTGGTTTTGGGGGGGTAGTAGGACTTGGTCCAGCATGGCCCTTTGGGCTTTTAAGTTACCATCTGAGTGATGAGGACAGATTTCTCAGCTGTGTCTCTTGGTAATAGTCATTGAGAAGAGGGGAATGAGTATGGGTTGTGGCTGGAGAAGCTAGATGCAGGTTGACAGTAGATAGGTAGATTTGTGGAGGGAAAGGACCTATAGGAGACCTGTACTCAGTGTTAGACGGATGGCTGGGTCAGGAATGGTAAGTTGAAGATGTGAGCAAAAGTTGCTGTGGGGCCTCTCCCTATTCCACCCCACCATACACACATAGAACAGCTCTATCCCTGCCCAGAACATGGAATCTCATAGGAGTGTTCCCTTCCTGAAGCCTAACCTCCCTACCTACATTCCTGCAGGAATTCTAAAACCTTGGCTAGGTAGTGAGCTTGGAAGAGCTGGGCTTTGTTTTCTGTTTCCTCCCACCTCTTTTGTCACTTTATCCCATCCCATTTAAGTCCAACGATGAGGCTTAAGATTCTAATAAATAGGACCTTATTGTTTAATCTGTGGCTTGACCTGTGGCCTTGGAATCAGCCTCTCTAAAAGCTGGGCTTCAATGTTCAGCAAGTGAGCAAAGTACCACCCTAGTAGCCTGGTACTTTACACAAACAGAGCACAACGGTGTTCTGAAAGTTACTGTAAGCCTGAAATAAACTGTATTTTTCTTAGAAAACAAAACAAGAGTATCCATTGTCCTCCCCCCATTCTCCTGTCCTGCCCAGTGGCCCTGCCATGGGTCTAGATAAGCCATGGGAGATGCAGGAGGGGTCTAGTAACCACCACATGTGAAGACACTGGCTGAGGAGGCTGGGTTGGGAAAGGGTCCCAGGATCAGTGGCAGAGCTGGCACTTGGATCCAGCTCACCTGCCTCTGGTGCTTTGGAGGGAACTGGGTAGAGGCAGGATCTGAAAGGTGTTGAGGAGTGGGGGGAAAGACAGCCTAATTCAGATAGGTCTAGTAATAGCTCCCACCCTCCCTGGGGATAGGGATTAAAAAAAGTTAACATCACTGTAGGAATATTTTTTTTAAAGCCCACATTTTGTGAAAAGATGAATTAAAAACCCAAGACCCAGCATTCAGGATTGAAAGTGCCCGTGATGGGAGTTCAAGTATTGACTGAGCTGGGAGGGAAGGGGCTGGAGCCCCCAGTTGGACAAGGGTGTGGGATGAGGGCTCCCAGTTCCCCCCCAAACGCTCTAGATCTTGTCTTGGGTCTGGGGTGTTTCAGCGGGTTCAGCAGTGGCTCCTGAAGCTGCCACTGGTGCCTCTTCCATCTCCCTGTCCTCAGACAGTGTGGGCCCTGGGCAGAACGTGTCCCCACGGCCTGCCCGACCAAGCACAGCCATCCAGCGTCGCTGTAGTTCCTCTGTCTCAGGGCTGAAGTACCAGCTGAGATGGCTCTGGGTGATCTTGAAGACATGCCTTCTGTCAGGCCGCTCTCCTGCCTCAGGAGGGCCCACCTCAAAGCCAATGAGGGGCAGGCTACGCTGGGCTTTCACATCCTGGGAAGAAAAGAAAGAGCTAAGGTTACCTTGGGGCTGGACCTTATCTCCTGCCCCAACTTCTAACTGGTTTTTCATCTGATCTCCTGTTTTTCTTCTCCTGCTCAAGAACCTTCTGTGACTCCACTGTTAATAATAGGAGAATGTCTGCCTGAACCAGGGCTAGAATGTAGGCTGGTTTAAATACCTACTTTCTCCTACATCCCACACCAGCTAGGCTATTCTCTTTAGAATACCCAATAATGTTTTCAGGCCTCTGTTGTATTGCTGCTGTCTACATACTCTTCCCCATTCCAAATTGAACCAAGCAGTGCCCAATCTTCGCTCCTTCCTCCAGGAAGCCATCCCCCTCCCATCTCACCCGTTTTCCCCATATACCTTGGCCCAAAATCACTCCTTTTCTCTAGCAGATCCTTAATCTCCTAGGGGTAGGGCTTCTGAATTCCCTCTAGGTTGAGATAGGTTTGCATAAATCCCCCAAGGCCAAGGAGAGGTCAAAGACTAAGGGAAAGAGGGAGGGTGGCTGAAAGGACTGGAAGGAGTAGAATCCACACCTGAGGGGCTCCGTAGATGTATAGCACCAAGGGTTCATTCTCAGGGACCACAAACCATGCCTTGTGCCATCCTTTCCCACCCTTCTCCATATAGTGAAGGAAACTGCAGATGACGCTGTTCTCCGCAGCCACTGAGGCCTGTTTCTGTAGCCAGAGACAAGGGGTGTTAACAGAAGGCCTAGTCTGGCTCTTCTTGACATTATTACTCCCTCAGTGTAGGGACTGGTACTCCATGTCTCAGGTGAAGACACTGAAGCTTGGGTGGCAGGGGTGATTTGGCCAATGTCACTCAGTGAATCAACTAGAGTAGAGATTCAAAGCCAGGCCTGTCTGCCTGATTCAGACCATGGCTGTTGCCTCTAAAAACCAGTGGAAGGGGTGTATGGATCTCAGTGGAGGCATCTAAATGCCAGGCAGGTGTTCTCTCTTCACTCAGGCCATTTATTCCTCAAGTCATTCAGGCATTTACGCCTCATCTTTTCATCTTTCATCATATATCCATTTCCCTATACTCAGTGAAAGGCAGTCTAGCATTGTGGTTTGGGGATGGAGGGGGTGGTTAATGCAATCAAGCTAAGAATCCCAGCTCCAGATGAAAATGTATTGACTTGGAAGGAGAACACAGAGCTGTTGAGAGGACTAAATGAATTAATATATGCAAAGCACTTAGAATCATCCTGGCACAGGCTAAATGTTCTTTGAGTGTTAAATACATTTGTTTATAAAAACAAACCTAAAAAATGTGTGTATGTGCATATTCCTGGAAAGATAGGATGGATATATGTTAACAGTGGTAACTTTTGGGTAGAAGGAAAATGGTATTTTATTATTTTTCTTCATATTGTCCTACTTACCTTACTTTGTAATAAGAAAGACAATTTGTTATTTTTTTTTAATTCCAGCTCTGCCACTCATTTGTTGTTATCTTGGGCAAATAAATTCTCTGGGCTTTAGTTTCCTCATTTGTAAAATAAGGATAATAATAGCATGGATAAAATAGTTACTGTGAGGTTTAAATGTCTAAAGCACTTCAATAAAAATTACTCTCTTTCATTTACTCTAGCACTCATTTTACTCAAGCCTGGGTCATTTGATTAGTGAATTCACACAGCACCCTGTTTCACAGGTGCCCAAGCCTCAGTCATACTGGGTAAGTTATTTGAGCCCATTAAGTCACTGAGAAAATTAGTTAGGAGCCTGGCTCTTACCTCCAGGATGGATCTCCGGCGCTGGGGTGTATGCTGACTGCAGGCTGGACTGCTCCCAGGCACCCCGTGCAAGGCCACATAGCAGTCAGTGCATACACGGTTGGAGCGGTTATTGTCATAGATGAGGCGGGCCCGGAACTCAGAGCACTTCCCACAAACCACCTGGGGGCAAGTAGGCAAGAGCAGCCTGATTCTAGCAGTCCTCCCCCTTCAGTGTACCAACTCCCACAGAAAACTTAAGGCCTCCCCACACTTGGGGGGTACCCAGCCTTCTGGCTGCTGGTCTGTCCCCTCCCTAGGTCTGCCCCTACGCCCCCAACACTCACATGCCCGCAAGCCTTGCAGTGGTGCCTGCGTTTGGTGATGGAATTGAAGGGCTCCTGACAGCGCATGCACATGGTTACTTCCTTCTCCCGGATAGGTGTAGGTGCCCGCTTCCCAAGATCCACGTTCTGGAGGGAGGACCAGGTCCCAGATCAGAGACACCTACTCCCCAGCCCAGTCCAGACAGCCCTTGTCCCTAGGCTTGTATTATCATGGAAGGAGGGTAGGTGGCAACAGATACTTTTAGAAGACCTGCCTCTGCTCCTACTTCACTGTGCTACTGAAGAGAAGTCATTTTTAGTTTCTGAGACTTGGTTTCCCCAAAGTTTTCTCTGTAATCCAACCACGAAAGACTGCTTCTGAGGTCATGCATTGCCTCTCTGGTTTTTATTTTCTGGGTAGGGGAGATGATCATTTCAAGGTCTAGTGAGGACTTAAGAGGCCTAAAAGGGGGCCCAGTGCAGGGGGAGAGAGTAGGGACTTACTGGAGAATGGGGGGGGGTATCTTCATCTTCCCTGTTGGTTGAGTTCAATAGTTTGAAGGTCTCCAGCGTCTGTTCATGCTTCAGCAGGGTGGAGTTGATGGCCTGAGGAGGAGATGTAAGAAGTGAGAGGTCAGATCACTCCACAAGCCACCCATTTCTACCCTCTCCTCTCTTTCCTATGTCTTAGCCTAGAGTCAGAAAAGTTGGGTTCCAGGTCCAGCTTTATCTCTCTTAGGCAGATGACCTTGAGCAAATCCCTTCCCAAATGTAGGTCATAGGGTTAATAATAGTAAAATGGGGCAGGAGCAGTGGCAGAAACACCTCAAGCAGACATCCTGACCATCATTTGGGTTTAAGATTTTACAGGGCTTGACTCACTGGAATTAGACTCTCAGAGTAACCAGCTTTTTAAAAGAATTTGCAGGTTTCTACTTAACCTCTGTACCCCTTAGTTTGCTTATCTGTAATATGGAAATGGTAAAGTTTGCTGGAAGGCAGGTGTCTAGGCCCATTTTGGTTAAATGTGTTTTGGAATAGAGTCCACCAACCCCTCAGAGACCTGTTAATACTCTTCCAGCCCCTTAATACAAAGTCGTCTTGGATGTTACCTGGACCCAGTCTTTCTTCTCCTCCTCAGTCCTTGGGAAGAAAAAAAAATTGGGTTAGGCAGGCCAGCAAAAATCAACTGGAAGTGGTAAAGATCAGGTGTTTTAGAATCAGACAGACCTGGGGTTGACCTTCAGCTTTTTTTTTTTAAACTTTATTTTATGTACATGAATTGGCCATATGTGTAAGTTAGCATAGCATGGTTTCTTTGATTGCGTCCCCCTGGATAATCCATTCAAGAAAGATTACTTAGTCCAAGTTGATGAACCCGATGTCCTTCGTGTACTGGCGGAAGCACTGGCGGCACATACTGAGGCCGTATTTCCGGATCAGACCATGCCAGTTTGAACAAGAACGCGGCAAGAATGAGAACCCTGGCCGAATTTTCACAGGTGGCTCCAGTAGAGCTGCTGGTGCCCTATCTTGCTTTCAGGAGTGCAACGAGGCAAAAGGCCCTTCAGCTTCTTCATGTATTACTTGTGTGTCCTTGGGCAAGTCTCTTAACCTGACTTTATTTATTCAACAATTAATAACACCTTTCGTGCCCTGTGCTAGGATCTTAGGCTTCAGAGAGGATCCTGCCTCAAAGGAGCTCATGGTCAAGTGGAGGAGAGAGAAAGGGACAACACAGAGGGATGCATCAGTTCTGTACAAATGTGGCTGAGGAACCTAGAGGCGGGTACATGCCCTGTCCTGAAGTTTGGGTGGAGGCTTTTAAGGAAGGTTTTCTCAAGGAGGTGCTAGGCCTCAGGTAGAAAGTATAAGGGTAAAGTATGTGAGAACGAGTATAAAACATACAAAGAACCACACCAATAATTTCTTGTTGCTGGGATGTCAAGTTTGAAAAAGGAGGGCAGGTTTATTTATTTATTTTTACATTTGTAAAATAGAGATGATTATTATTTTTGTTTGTTTGTTCTAGAGACAGTCTTACTTTGTTACCCTCAGTAGAGTACTGTGTGGTCATAGCTCACAGCAATCTCCAACTCTTGGGCTTAGGAGATTCTCCTGCCTCAGCCTCCCGAGTAGCTGGGACTACAGGCGCCTACCACAACACCTGGCTATTTTTAGAGACAGGGTCTTGCTCTTGTTTAGGCTGGTCTTGAACTCTTGAGCTCAAGCGATCCACCCACCTCAGTCTCCAATAGTCCTAAGATTACAGATGTGAGCCACTGTGCCCACCCTGTAGATGATGATTATCACTGAGTTGTTCCGATCAGTAACTGAGGTAACTTGTATAAAGTGCCCAGCTAGATGCTCAATCAATGTGAGTTCTCCTTTCCTTTGCCTCTCTTCCATGACTCTCCTATCTTGGAAGAAAGGCAAAGTACACTAGATGCTCAATCAGTGTGAGTTCTCCCTTCCTTTGCCTTTCTTCCATGACTCTCTTGTCTTCCCTTCAGTCTCCAAGGCCTCTGTCCTGTTATAGTCTCATCAGTAGGACTAAGACCCAGCCTCTCTGTTATCTCCTATCTGATTTCTTTTAATTTCCTTCCATATCTACACTCTAGACATTAAAAGTATTTTTCTAATATGAAAGTCTGAATGCATCTTTAGAACCACAAGAATGTCCACTACAATGGACATTGTTATTATATTGAAATACAATATAGGCTTGGTGCCTGTAGCACAGTGGTTACAGTGCCAGCCACATACACTGAGGCTGTTGGGTTTGAACCTGGCGCCCGCCAGCTAAAACAACAATGACAACTGCAACAAAAAATAGCCAGGCATTGTGGCGTTGCCTGTAATCCCAGCTACTTGGGAGTAGTGCATATCACTACTGCAAGAGAACAGTAATGATGCAGAAAAATGTTTCCAATATGTTAAATGAAAAGAACATTTGCCAAGTTTTTCTAAAGGGTGTCCCAAAGGTTACCTATAAAGTTTCCATACAACTTTATAATGGGAAATTGTTTCTAAATGTACTTTTATTTACCTAATATTTACCAAATATTCATTGCAAAACTTTACAAAGAGGTGGTCAACATGTAGAGAATATTTTGTAAATATTTTACAGAATTTTCCCTATATA